AGTTATTGCTTCTTCTATTACATTCTCCTTCTTCGCGAGAGAGAACAAGAAAAAAAAAATATTGAACATTAGCAAAAGCGCGCATTTGTCGTCATTCGTTTTTCGTCTGTTTTTCCTTCTCGTTTCTCTCTATTTCTTTCACGTTGCATCTATCCACTTCTTTTTTTTTCTTTATTCAGTCCTTAGTCATATGTTCGACATTGTTTGTGTAATAAAGTAGCCAGAACAACCAACCTGTCGTACTAACTCCGTCAGGCTAGAGAAAAAGAAAATATTTGTAAGAAAAATGCTTTGGTACCATGCTTAGTGAGTATATGCATGTCTTCTTTTTTTCATCTATTCATCTGTTGCCATTATTGCTTATGTAATTAATGTAATTATTTCTTTTTTTTTTGTGTTCACTTTGATGTTCCCATGTAAAAAGAAATAAAATAGAATTATTTTAAAAGTATACATATATACATATAAGATTGAATTCATCAATTTATTCAAGGGTTATGAATACTTTTAGAGTAAAAATAGAATAAACAATGTCAGCGACAGTGGATCCATTATTTGGTCTAATTCAAGTTTCTTCATCAATTAAAATAAAACGATCTGACGGTCGAATACATTTAGCTAAAGTAGTACAACTTTCACCTGAATCAAAATCTGTTGGTGTCGAATGGAATGAACATGGTGAAGTTAAAGGAAAAGAAATTTTACTTGATCTTGTATTTGAACTTAATAATGAATTACGACCAAATACAACATTTAAACAACCAGCATCACTTGTCAATCAACATGTTCGACCAACAGCAGCTGTCCCTATGCCTGCTAATGGTCTATCATCAAGTCGACTTACTTTAGATATTGATACATTAGAACGTGAATATAATTCACGACCACCACCAACACTTCCGCCACAATTATTACAAAAAATTCAGCAACACCCGGTATCTATTCAAACAACTTCAACCCCACTTCCCCCTCCACCACTTAATGGGTATATTTATTATTATTATTATTACTAATTTTTCTTACAGTTTCTTTTTCTTTTTTTCTTTTTCAATATTCAGTTCTGTCACAGCTACTACAGCTCATCAAAAAACAAGCTATGCACCATCCGGAACAAATAATACAGCTGCTGTTCGTTCCATACGTCGTCCTACTGCTCAAACAAATTCTTCATCTTCAAAAATAACAACATCTTCATCTCCTGTACCACCTCCAACACCTACTATTGAACAACAAGTTCAACAACCATTACAGATTCCACCTCCAGCAAATAATAAAGTTGAACGTCGTCTTTCTCGTCTACATGTTGTACAACAATCATCTTCAATAAATACACATAATACAGTTGTTTCAACTGTACCTGAACCATCACCATCTATTGGCTTACATGGTCCATTCGGTCAAATGATTCTTGATTATCGTTCAACATTAACTTATTCTCCAATGACAAATTCAAATCTACATCATGAAATCAATCAAAAAGATTTACGTATTTGTGTAGCTATTCGAAAACGTCCATTAAATAAACGTGAATTAGCTAAAAAAGATAATGATGTTATTACAATACCAAATCGAGATCATTGTCTTGTTCATGTACCAAAAACAAAAGTTGATTTAACCAAATATCTTGATAATCAAACATTTAAGTGCGTAAATTTCATTATAAATATATTCAAATTTAATCATTTAATATCTTTCAGATTTGATTATACATTTGATGAAAAAGCTTCAACTGAACTTGTTTATCATTATACAGCTGCTCCACTAATTGAGACAATTTTTAATGGTGGTAATGCGACTGTTTTTGCCTATGGTCAAACAGGATCTGGTTCGTAAACTTATTTTCTCTTTATTTGTTCAGTTTTTTTTTTCTCATCTTAATTTAGGTAAAACATTTACAATGGGTGGTGATCTATCATCAGCAAAAACTGATTATTCACATGGTATTTATGCACAAACAGCACGTGATATATTTCATCGTTTATCACAACCACAATATCGTTCATCAATTGAAATATTTGTTACATTTTATGAAATTTATTGTGGCAAAGTTTTTGATTTACTTAATAATAAAAAACGTCTACGTGTATTAGAAGATCAAAAAGGTCTTGTTCAAGTATGTGATCGAAAAGAACAACAAGTCAAATCTGTTCAAGATGTATTAAATATCATTCAACGTAAGTTGATCTTTTTCATTCAAACATTTTTCTATCTGAAAAGGCTCTTAAAAAATAGCATAGTTATTTTTATTTTATGGAGTTGATTGATAATTTTGATAAAAAAATTTAAAAATTATGGACTCCTTCGGAACGGAAAGCACAAGTATAGGAATAGTCAGTGGAAGAAGCTTTCTATTTCTGGTTAAAGTCGTTTTTCAGTGGAAGGAATGCCGCATATTCTGAGAGCTCTTTCCTCTCTAGTCATTTGGTCGTTATGTCATCAGTCTTTTATGATACTCCAATGATAAAGACAATCCTAAAGACTATGAATTCACCATTTTAAATATATTCTGAAACTATGATTCATATTGTGCTCTCATTCATCTTCTTTCTTCCTGTAGAGTTAAACCCCTTACTTTTATACTGATTGTTTTGGATATTCGGTGAATGATAACAGCTACTAACAATTTTTCGTGTCGTATCTTTATTCTCTTTGTGAATTCTCTCTAGTCTAGTGCATTTTGGTTCTGCTCATTGTCCGTATATATCTAATGCACATTGTCTAATAGATTCAAAAATGTATACTTCTTTCTATAGTAAATCCATTCTCAAGAGATGAAATTTCTATTTTTGTTTTCAAGCAATAATCTTGATCAAAACATAAACAATCAACATATACTCACAAAAATTTTTCTTCACTTTTATACTTGTCAATTTAATTAACGAATTCATATCTTGAACAACACGTGTTAATATTTATCAGAGTTGCACAAGAAACTTACAAAAAACTCATTTTGTTCTATCATAAACATTGAGATTAATCAAAGAATTTCATTTATACTATTATTAGACATGGGAAAGATCGAAATTATTCTGTATATATTTAGTTGTTATACTTTTCATGTACAAAATCTACTATCTTCAAAGATGGGTGCACATTGAAAAGTTCTCTTATTTATAGTTACAAAAAGAAATATTCTATATAGTTTTCACAACGATTTTATTTTAATGTAATTTAGATGGTATGAGTATTCGAACATCTGGTACAACAGCAGCAAATTCAAACTCTTCTCGATCACATGCTGTTCTACAAATTATTTTAAAATCAACAGCACCTATTTCCAGTCATTCGAATGTATCATCATCATCATCATCATCATCTCGCTATAATAATCATAATAATCCAGCTGTACCTCGACGTTTAATGAAAGAAGTTGGTAAAATGTCCTTAATTGATTTAGCCGGTTCAGAACGTGGTAAAGATACAGCAAGTGGTGATCGTCTTCAACGTATGGAAGGTTCAGAAATTAATAAATCTTTATTAGCACTTAAAGAATGTATTCGTGCATTGGGTCGTGGTGATGGTAGTCATGTACCATTTCGTGGTTCTACATTAACAAAAGTATTACGAGATTCATTTATCGGTGATAAATCAAAAGTTTGTATGATTGCAATGGTTTCACCAACACATTCTGATGTTGAAAATACAATGAATACATTACGTTATGCTGATCGAGTTAAAGAATTACGAGCTGGAGATAATGATGGAATTATATCAAATGAAGATGATTATATTAAAATGGATGGAATATCGAAAGGTTTGATAAACTATATTATTACATATATGTAAATAATGATTAATTTTTCTTTTATAGCTTTACCTACAGATGAAGATAAAGAAAATAAACGTCGTCACCATCATCAACATCAACATTATCCTCATCATCATGATGGATCTACATCTTCAACTGAAAGTACAAGTTCTTCATCAAATTATGATGATGATGAACAAGATGAAGCATTAGCTTCATATGCAGTACAAGTTGAACATTTACAAGAATATGAAGAAGCTTTATTTGATTCTTGTCAAGATGTTTTAACAAATAAAGAACCAATACTAACAAAACAATTACGTGCAATTGTTAAACAAGCACAAGATACAGTTGATTATGATCAAGAAAAATTTGTTAATGATATGCGTGCTAATCTACTTCAACGTCAACAAATATTAAATGAATTACAAACACGTTTACAAGCATTTGCTGATTGTCTTCAACAAGAAGAACAAGTTGCTGCAGCACAAAGAGTTAAAAAGCAACAATCGAATGGCGCTATGCATTAAAAAAAGAACAAAACAAATAAATAAACTTTATATATTTTTTTTTTCGTTTATTTCTCTGATTTATGACTTTTCATTGGGTGTGTTTGTCTTATAATACGAATGATGAAAAATATAAATATATAATTTCAAACAGAAGCAGTGAGCAACTAATAAAAATTAATTAATAATCACTGCTTCTACATTTTATCTCTAACTAATGAAAGAATTATTTTTATTAATGTTATATCCGTAGGATGTTGTGATATGGTACTATGGAATGATAAACTTAAGTGTCTTTTGAAAGTAAGAGATAAGCTAATCTACTATTCAAGGATTATCTAACTGTTGAATGGTGGATATCTTGTAGGGAATTTTCTCAATGTTACATATCTGCAATCTCTTTTTCTCTAGCTCTATTCAATCTAATTGAAAATATGACATGTGAAAATTATCTTTCATTATACAGTTATTATGTAGAATATTCAAGTTTATTTATAAATAGAAACAGGATGTTTTAGAAATTTCGTTGATAACATTTCCGATGTTTTTAATATAATTTGGAAAATACTCTTCACTTATAAATTCCTCGAATAAATATAAAGTTTCATATCCAAGGTCTAAGTTTATTGAATAACTGTCATCAAACATCTGTCTCATATCGATATTAACAAATAAAAATTTTAAAAAAAAAAGATATATTCAACAATAAAAATCATCGATTTATAAAATGTTACTACATATTTCTAAAATTTTTGTACATCTTTTTTCTGTTGTTGATGAAATCTTTCTTGTAATGGTACATTATATCGAAAATCATCAGCATATCTTTTGATTGCTCGTTGATTAGATTGTGTAGTATGTTCTGAGTGTTGATTATGTGCATGGAGCGTTGTTGAGGTTGAATGATGTTGAAGAGAAACAAATTTAGCTCTTGGTAATGGAATTGATAGAGGAAAATCTGATGTATAATGATCATCATTGCTTTCTTTGGATGGATTTAAAAAAGTAGCAGAATGTGCCCATGAACCATAATACGATAGTGAAGAACATTCAGAATTATAACGGTCTAACATTCTCTAGAATAAGCAAAAGAGAGAGAGAGAGAGAGAGAGAGAGAGAATTTATGGTTATTCATTGATTTATTACTTGTCGATTTATGTGTTCTGATTGAGCTTTATATAAACGACGAAAATGAAAGATAGTCACGAAAATTCCACATAACTTAAAATAAAAACAATTTAATATTCTTTATTATTATTGATTTGTCTAACTAACCGCAACAATAAGACGAACAATCATAACAAAAAAAAGAATTTTAATTTGATTTATTGGTCGATAATTCTAAATAATACTCAAAAAAACAAACAAACATTATTTTGATGAAGAAATGGATATCAGATAACTAAACCTGTTGTTGATGTTCTCGTAGAGAAAGTACAGTCACACTACCATCAGCAAGTAACATAAAAATCATTGTTAATGACCAAAGAAGTAGCAACCATGGTTTTCCCTTGAAAAAAGAAAAAAGAAAAACTAGTAAATATTATTGATTAAATCTAATAAAATTTTACTAATTGAATGCCACAAAGAAGAACAGTAATAAAAATAACAACAGTAAAATAGATCAATACTGATATCGAACCCAAAATAGTCATTAATGAAGAAGATTCTATTAGCCATAAAATTGTATCTACAAAAGTCAAATAGATTCAAAAATATAGTTAACTCTATTCATTCAAGTTCAATGATACATACAATCTTTACCATCATGTAATTCTGTCGATAACATTGTTGTTACATCAATCAAAGCATACAATCCACTACTTAGATAAACAATCTATATACATAAAAAATAGTTGTATAATCTATATGAAATTTTCTTACAATAATTAGTAATGCGGTGTAAATAGATAAAGTCGACCATTTAATTTTGTTACAGATAGTATATTGATATGAACCAGGAAAACAAGAACATACCGAAGGATCGACAAAAGAATTAACACCAGATGTCATTATAAAATAAAATAGTAGAAATGAAAAGAAGAGAATATGATTACATAGTTAAAATGTTTTCCTGTCTTTCGTTCGTTAATATTTCGTTGGCACATGTTAGTCTGACTTAAATCGGGGGGGAAAAAAACGAGGGAACGAAAGAAAGAATCAAACAAATAGATGGATAAATATTCGACGACTGTGTGTGTATTAGTTTTTCCTTATTGTTATTTAAATAGTATAAAATTGTTGTTACACGATAGATCTTCAAAAATTTATATAAATTAATTATATCTAAGTTTTACAATATTAAACAAATATAAGAGGAATTCATTTAATTTTTTCCCTCATTTCTTTTTTGATGGTTTTAATCGTCATTATTCAGTGAATATTTACTAACGAATGTTGTTGTTCGATTTTTTTTTGTTCTTTGATGCAAGAAAATCTAGATGATATAAATAAATGTATGAATAGATACTTAACTTGATAGAAAAAAAATCTATCATTGCCAAGATAATCTGAGATTACAATTTTTTGATACAGTTAGGTTTCATCTAATGTACTATGTGATGAATGAATGTTTTCTTTAGTCAAAATTAAGATCTGTTGAAGTATCCTTTTTACATAAAAACAAATTTCAATTTTTAAATTTCAAGATTAAATAGTAAAATTTTCAATCATAATATAATTAATAACTCTTACTATTGAAATTAAAATTATATTTATAAAGATTTTAGTATGAATTTATTAATTTCTATACCATTGTTAATATCTGAATTTCTATGAATATGTTTGAGCCATTTATGTATATCAAATGTTGTGTAGAAATGATTATGGATGTGGGATAGGCGTATGCATGACGCAAGAATTCACACGTCCACATCCAGCTGGCTTGTTTCGAGACAGTAGTATAAATCATTACGTAATAGCGTGTATTGATTTAAAATGTCAGAAAAATCTTCCTATTCTTCAAAGGAGTACCTAATGATATTTTAAAGAATGAGTTGATGTACTTCGGGATAAACAAAAATGTAAAATCAAAGTCTATGATACAGTAACGATCAATAATGTATATTGCTAGTTTATTGTTATACATGAGTCCACTTCAGCATTTTTAAGTTGACACTTCTTTTCCTTTCAATTCTAAGTTGCTTCATGTTACTTTGAGCACTACATAGAGAACTTTTAGTTCTTTTATTTTAACTAATATCGATTAATATTATTTTCTCAATTCACTCCGCTCTCGATTCAGAAGACTGCTACTCTTCTTCTGCATACTATGTTTAAAGCAATACAACAATATGCTGCGCCAGTACTACCAAAGACAAGGACATTGTTGAACGAATTTAGTCGATGTCATCACTGTACTATGGATATAGAATCTTAAAATATAATATTTTTATTCCAAAGTTCAAACTCTACGTAGAAGGTCTCTACATAACTTCTTATTGATAGATTCTTTAGCTAATTTTACATATCTATTTAATTCCAATATTTACAAAGTTAAAATAATTCTGAAAAATCTTCGAGGATTTTCAGACATCATCGTCAGCTCTTACATTGGTTAAGACTTTTATGTATGGATTACTATCGATCTGATAATGATGTCTCAAGCAATACGTTTTTTTTTTACTTCTTTTAAATAGGCAAAAGAAAGTATAGGCATATTATTACTATAAAATAAAATCATGCGATTTAAAACATCAATTTTGATGTGTCAAATCGGTTGTCTCATAATATTAACTTTCACTATTTTCGTGTACTCTTATTCTCATCTATCTGAAACTATTTAAGTGGATAAGACAACGAATTTTGCTTATTAATTATATCTCTATTGAAAGTCAATGAATTCTATAAAGCTTTGATAATGTATAAGAATTAGAATAACATTTTTGAAACATTTTTTATACATGAAAAAGTACTTTATCGATAATATTGATAATTAAACTTTATCTCATACTTATTTCTTTGACATGATACTTCAAGCTCTGTGCTTATGAGCGATGCATAGATCTTCTATAAAAAAAATGCAAGGAAAGCAACGTATTGCTGGACATGATATATATTATTCTGATGTATCCTACATGATTTCGATCGATCGATTCATAGATCCGTTGTTTGTAATCACCACTCCAACTCATTTCACTATACAGTATCACTCATTGGACATTGGTGCTTACGCATTTTTCTGTTTTGTTTTCTCATCAATCATATAACGTGCTTTCCTTTTCGTTAAATACTATCATAGATTTGGATGAGCCTGTTTGTGTGATTAATTTATTCAAGTTTGTACTTTTTTATCAGAATAAATTATTACTTTTATCTTAATTAAATATTCAATAATTAAGTTTGATGCTATATAAGATTCTCCGTCGCTTGTAAATTATGAAGAATAATTAATAATAAAAACAAATCCATAATTTATTGACATATTGAATATTCGATTTATTATTGAAATTCTGTTTTATTTATTCTAGACAACCTAATGTAATCTTTCTATCTCTACTCTGCATTTCAGTTAGAATATTGTAAATGAAAAAGTACTTTGATAATTATTCATATTCATAAGTTTTCATTTAAGTTTACATCAATCTAGGCATTCTTGGTGTCATATTCTCATAGGCAATGTTTTCATTTTTTTCGAAAGATAGGCACTGTTTTAGTCAGAAACATGTAGATAATAGCATACAACATCAGAAAGGACCGAACAACATATACGAGTTATCATTATATTTGGTCTTTTCTATTTGGATGCATTCTTTTTTCCACGATTGTTATCAAAACGTTTATCACATCTAAACAGATAAATGTACTTTGCTTAAAAAATAACGTAAGAACGTATCATTGAATACTTATCTCTAGTTCATTAAAGAGATAAATCTGAGTGGACGCTTATTTTCATGTTAATCTTGGCGGAAAAAAATATGCTTATGAAGTTGTGTAATAACTCACAAATACCTTAAAGCATCAATATGACATTCTAATCTAATCAAGATTATTTACTTTAAATTTTTGATAATTTTTGGAATCTTACATAAGTGTATTTCAGCTTCTTGTTATGACGATAATCTTAATAAATAGATATTGATTAGAGACAACTTCTTTACCATTTAGCTTGAAAAAGCCAATTCATATCCACTTTTTGTAAGACATTTACATTAAGTGTTCGAAGGGTGTAGATGTAGGTGTTGATGACGAGAAGAGACCTACAGCCACAGTTCTAGCTACCCATCATTGCCACATACTAAGGACGAAAATGAAAGGTTGGCAATAATCGGTGGAGTACTTCGTAAAAGAATGAGAAGTTCAATCGCATCAAAAATCAAATATTTGCTAGAGTGAAGAAGCACACTTTGAAGAAAATAAAGATTTGCTCTAGAGAGAAGTTGCGATTTATAATGACATTGTAGAAAATGTTTTGAAAAACGGGCATATTTTATTCGTAAAACACTTGAATGCAATAGATGATGAAATATCGTTTGAAATGAGAAAATCACATAGACATTGTGGACATGTTCTATGAAGAGACATACTGATGTTAAAACTTTTATCTAAAAATGGTTTGAAGAAAAGATTTTGAATAAATTGAATAAATACAGAACTGTGATCTGTAAAAAGAGAGTAAAACATGAATAATGGTGATATGCATTTAACTATATATTATTCAATATGCTAAAGGGAGATGTTTGGATTTTAGTTTTAAAAAATTGTACATTATTCTGTACGTAAAAATAGGAAATATTTAATGAAGTTCATTACGAAGTTTTCAGTTTATTGTATTGTTTGATGTATTTATGATTATTTACTTAACGGCATTCTTGTCATCAATTTTTCATATTTTATTTGTTTTTATATTTGAGATTAAAATACACACAGGTATTGTTTGAAAGCTATATTATTAAATTATGAGAATAGAAATGAGAAAAACATCTAAAAATACAAAGTACGAAAACTTTATGTACAATGTAATAGAAATAATTAAACAAAAAATACTGATGCTAAAGTATCAATAGATTTCGTTTGTTTTTACGAATCTTATAATGTCTTTCTCAAAAAGACTGGACATGCAAATAAGTATTCATATAAGTTTTTTATTATATATTTCGTTTTGAATTAGTTTAATGAAAAAAAAAACGCAGAAATCTATTTGGGAATAAGTTCTATTATTTTTAACACAATCACGAAGTTAATTAATATGGCATTCATTTTTATTTAGCTGCTACTAATTGTTCACTTAGTTTCCATAAACGTTCAGCTGATTCCATATCAATTGCATGTACTCCTAGACTCCAAAACATTTTCATATCTCGATTTACTCCTTGACTTATTGCACAATTTTTCAGGTACTCTTCACCATGATTATCAAGCTCAGGTGCTAAAGCAGCATAGACACTTGTTGATGTACCTTGTTCAACATTTTAAAATCTATCCACAGGAGTACCATCTTCTTTAAACCATTCCATTGCTAGTTGTTCTTCAATTGGTAAATATCTAGCTAAATTTGTCGTAAGTCCACCTGGATGTAAAGCATATTCTCGGATACCTTCTCACGAATATAATTTATTGAATTGCTTAACAAAGAGAATATTTGCTATTTTACTCTGACCGTAAGCAAGCCATTTGTCATAAATTTTTTTCTCAATTAATATCTTCCCAATTAATATCACAACGTCTGTTTGCAAGTGAACTAACGATAACAACATGTGATGATGTACCTACTTTAAGTTTAGGCATAAGATGTGTAGCAAGAAGAAAATAACTTAAATGATTAACACGAAATTGAGTTTCAAAACCGTTAACTATTTTTCCATATGGACATATTATAACACCGCCATTGTCTATAGTTAATAGAATGATAGAAATATATGTTAGATCAATAACTGAATGTTCTACTAACAAATAAGAATATTAATTAGTGAATTACATTGTCAAAATCGATCAACAAAATCTCTAACTGATTGAAGTGAACTTAGAACAAGTTTCATCACTTCGATTTTATCATTGCCAGTTATTTTTTTAAGATCTTCTACAACTTCTACACCTTTATTCATATCTCGTGCTATAATAACTACATGTGCATTTACTGTTGCTAATGCACGAGCTGTTTCAATTGCGATACCTTAAATAATAAATGTGTTTTTAGTAAGTCTAATATGATTGAATGTATTTACCTGATGTACAATCAGTAATGAGAACAAGTTTTCCATCAATATTTGCGTTAAAACCTTTCACTACTTGAAGCGTAGTCGATTTAGCATGAAAAGTTGGTGTAGTCATTGTGCAATGTATGTTCGTGATGCTTTTATGAGCCTTTTTCTCACATGTTGTTGATAGTAACTTGAAAGAAACTTATCATTTCTATACTTTTTCTACCTCTTTCTTTTCATTCTTTGTTTATTTGTATTGACCATATTACAGGTAAGAAATAGGTATTGATTAGAGCCCATCAAGTTTAACATTTTTAAATCCGAACTCGACCAAGTTTGGGTCTGAGACTAATTCGACGGACTCTACTCTTGATATTATTGTTTGAAACGTACTTACTAACTTTAATTGATGTTTATTCATCTCTTTAGAAAAATATTATTTTCTTTTTTTACATTAACAACAATGTGACTATTACGCTTAACATTAAAATTATTTACTTGCTTGATACCTAGGTGAATTCAACCTTAGAAAAAAGACTTATTTACACGATATAAATCAATATCAAAAGAAAAATTAGGTTCAAAAGTTTCTCTGCATATATATACAGATACGTCTCAAATATAACAGATAAATAGAAAGATAAAAACATTTCTCATGGTTCTAATTGGTATAAAAACTATTTTCATTGTAGATACACATCTATAATCATTCTCCATGTTAGAGAATTCATAAAAACATTTTCCATTAGTAGTTTCTCAGAAAAAGAATTCTTAGGAACCTTGTAGATACTATATATAGTATGAAAAACTGTTTTTGCCCATGCACTGGTTGGCATACAAATACCTCAATGCTCTGCACATGTCCATATGTTGAATAACATAAGTAAAAAAAATCGCTACATATTGTCATGCGATTATTCGTATGTAACGTAATATTCGTTATCGGATTGAAAATATGTTAGTTCGAGTTCGAAGTGATAATGCAGAACTATCTGTACTTGATCAATGACTTGTTGATTATGAATCACAAATAGCAGCACAGGAAATACAAACAAAAGAATTTGAACGTTGTGATATCGTTAAGAAATTAAAATATGTGCTTGAACATAAAGAAAACGGTGTTATTGCTGTTCGAGAACCTGACATACTCTCAATATTACAGAATAGACATCCAAAACATCAACTATTTGTATTATATGCCAATAATGAACTTGGAAACAGTTCGAGAGATAAATTGATAATAACTTTGAATTTTTTCATCAAATTGAAGCAAACGTAACGTTAGGTAGTCGATTGATATCCTGCTATTTTGATTACGATTTACATCCTAATTTTTGACCTCAACAAAAAAAAAAACTTGAAGTGCGAGAATATGTAGTACTCCGATTACTATCCTAAGATCTCATATTAAACCAGAAATAGTTCTTCAATAAACTAGTGCCCACAGGCTCGATTGATTAGTAAGATAATAAATATCCCAGACTTTTCGATACGTTAAATACTTAAACAACTATTGATTAGAAGATACAAGCTATCTACGCTCGCAGATTTATTTTAAACAAACTATTCAATGATTAAGAATTCCAAAATAAAATGCAGTTTCTAGTAAAATGGATTTTCTCTTCCTTTGCAAATAATCCATTAATAGAAAATTTTTAAAACAAACAAAGGTTTTAACGTTTTTTTATGAAACGGAACTCTCAGTAGAATCATAATTTTGTCTTAAATCGATGAAAATGTGTGGTTATAAAGAATTTTTAGTGAAAATAACTTTCGTTGTGCAACATTTTCTTCGGAATTTTCTCATTGTCAAATGTGTTGGTTTAAAATCATATACATTTATGTTATATTTTAGTTCAAAAATGTTAATGCTGCTATCGATTCAGTAAATCAATTGCATTGAAATGCTAAAGCTCGTCTCGACGAAATGTTTGTTAAATCTGGTAGTTGTATATTATTACTCCATACTCCGCCATTAGCATCACGAAATGAAATTTTTAAAAAAATGACGTCACAATCAAAAACAAATACTTTATTAATTGGTCGATCACGTATAGAAAAATCAACATTTAAAACATATTTTAGCTGATCCAACTCAAACTTCTGGTTCATTCAAATCATCTTCTCAAACAGAATTTCCTTTATTGGAACAATATTCTGTTCCTAGAACAGATATTATCCTAAACATTATTGATACATCAGATTTATTTCAACAAACAAAAACTTCATCACCATTCCCAGATATTGCAACAATTATGCAACTAATCGATAGTTATATTCGTTTGAAAGTAACACAACTTCATTTTGTTTGTTCTTGTATACTATTGGAAACAAAATTTAATATATATGATTTACATACAGTTCATAAATTATTATAACAAAATGTGAATCAAAAAGTGAACAAGAATTAGAAGTCATATATATAAAGAAACACTAACTAATCTTGATTTTAAAGTTATTTCATCACAAATGCAATAAGAAATATTTTTTTTTTGATCACTTAATCAAGAAGATTGAATTGATATATTAAATTCAATATATGAATAATTTAGAAATACTTGTGAATATCAAAATAAACTATTTCATCTTTTTATTGATGTTGACGTAAAATCCTTTGATCTGACGTCGAATGTTATTGCTAGAAAGATTAGAGATGAAATTGATTCAAGAAAAACTGGAACACTTAAATGAAGATGTATAAACCGATCTTATTAGTTTTTTTTTTGTGATTATTGATATTATTTATTCTAAATCATTAAAAATTAAATTCTCTTTTTCACATCAACTGTTATTCTATTGACTTGATATTTCACTCATTAACATCAACGAAATAAAGTTCTCGACACACGAGAAGACCCCTCTGAAAATTGATCTTTTAAAAATTATACCTGTAAATTTTTACTTTTTTTCTGAAGTATTTACATAAGTTCATAATAATATCTAAGTTCACTATAGGCAATATTTTGCTTCCATCATTCATGGTGACGTGTCAGTTCCAAGTTATAAAAACCTTGAGAAACAGCTAATATGGAAAAATAGCCTAGTGGAAAATGCGTTTCTTTATTGAAAACATATCGTGTAGTCACATGTGAGCTCTTTTGCATCATACCCTGAATAAATTCTTGAGATTCTCTATACGAAAAAAAAAACGTTCCCATGGTTACAGAACCTAATTAACACAATGTAAATTCGCATGGATCATACATGAAGAAATCTTTCTAAAATAGGAACATATTTGATAAAATCCCGTTGGCTATTAATAAAAAAGTCTCATCACCTTTGCATATTCTTCTAGAAACTCAAAAATGCTTTATCAGAAAACAGCGCATTCATAGTTGAGGAAAATATACATTCAGATATATATGTCGAGGTTTGTTCTATGAAGTACTTCTTATGAGTATCGAAACAGACACGCTAAAAAACACTGAATGTGTATTACACTGCTGTTTTTCTATAAACTGCTCTTCATAAATAACCGTATTCATTCAAGTTAGCTTGAGACTAATAATTATGCTAGTGGCACATTCCATTGTGAACAAATTCCATCTATACTATTCGAACCTCAATATAAGCAACTGATTTAAATAAGTCTGACAAAAAAAAACTCAGTTTCTCTTCAAAAAAAAGTGCTGTTCGACATTGTACTAAAGTGTTAGGAGATGTTGACAGAATTGTTCTAAGAGCACTCTTCTTACGAACAATTTTCTCCATTTCCTTCACAGAATATTGTCTGTTTCTTTCGCATTCTACGCATGTGGGATAGGTGAAATAAACTTGTTTACTAACAATATAATAGGCAAAAAATGAATTGAAACTAAAAATTATTGGCGACACTACCAAAAAAATAATATAGCTTTTTTGAGAGACTTAATAAAAGATCCTCAATCTTTTAATGTATCGAAAACTTTAGCTCTGCTCAACTGATAGATGGCGCACTATTAAAGCAATAAGGTGCAATTGCTTCCCCTGATATCTTCCTATTCTGATGTTTACTATGGGAAGACTGATATACAGTGGTAGAAATCTATTTTATTCTATTTGTATTGCTATACTTTTTTGACTGCCGTAAGTGCTAGAAAGATTCCAAATAGTGATTCGAATAGAGAAAATGGTTTCCAAAAATAGAAACTTCACGAAACTAAAAAGCTGGGTGTTTTAGCACCTAGAACGCATAAGTGTAATTTTCTTTAGACTACGTAGAACGCTAGAGTAAATTATTTTCTACAAAATGCGACGTCTCCGAGTTCTCTGCAACGCTTTTTGACTGAGATACAGTAATTTGAGTGAAAGTCAAAAAATGACTTTTCTATAGGAGATAGTAAAAAAACGATTTTAGGAACTTCCGTAAGATTGCTGTATCTCACCTAAAAAACATTGTAGAGAACTCTAAAACGTCTCATATTGTAGAGAACAATTTATTCTAGCGTTCTATGTAGTCTAAACAAAATTATGTTTACGTATTTTAGATACTGAAAAACTAGCTTTTTACTTTTCTGGAGTCTCTATCTTTGAAAACCAGATAATAATTTTTGCTGCCTTATATTCTTGTTGGAAACAATATTCTCTATTTGAATTACTATTTGCATTCTTTCTAATGTTCATAACAACGGAACATATTGAAAACAAATCTTGTGGAATAATTTTGGTACTCACTATATATCAGACACCAGTCCTTATTACAGAAGTTGAAGGTCGTTTAATTAATATGATATAATGGAAGAAGCATAACGACCACTCTTCTTCTCTCTTTTTTTCGTCCACGACAGAAAGAAGATACTTTTCGGCCTTCTCTGTTTTATGTTCTTTTAAATCTTTTTACAATTTTGTGATTAGCTTTTAATTTTTTAACTAAATGTGAGATTAAAAGTATAGTTTCTTATTATTTCACAAAAAATACATTACAAACTTCGCTACAAAAAAAGAATGTAAAACATATAACAGTACAGCTATTGAAAATACAAATAAGACAATTATATTGGGTAGAACTAATAATGCAATATCGATGTTACTATCTTAAGGATGTGGATGTAGATGTTAATCTTTTCTACACTCAACCACACTCTAACAGGTTTAGAGAAACAATTCATTTTATCTTTAGTTTATATTGAACATATGTATTAAAAAAAACAATATTTTCAAAATAAATAAACTGATTAATGTAAGACTTGAAGTGAAATATTTTTTTTTATAATTACCAACTAAAAAAAAAAATTTATAGCTTTCCCTAGAAAGTTTTATTTGCGCTGCCTATGGCGCAACTCAAAAATCTTGATAGAGTAATAAATATGTATATGCACTAAATGCTTGGTTTTTTTATCATTATATATGACTTTTCTTGTGTGTACATGTGAGACTATCTATGCATATTTCTACGTTTTTACTCAACTTTGCATTGGCTAAGTCGTTAGATAGAAAGAAAATCAAATCTTTGATTGATACGAAATTGGACTTAATAGCTTAGTTATTGTGAGAAATGTTTTGAAAATAGCGATATTGAATTTTTGGCTGTACCAAGAGGAAAAATGTGTATATTCTCAATATTCATAAACAATCCAATCGACAATGTTACGAAGAGAAAAAGATTTCCAAGTCTTTCACTAACTGTTTCGGATTATTCAAAATGATAACACTTATGATTTGCACAAGTTATGACTTCATTTTTCCAACTTTTGAAGTTGAAACCTTCATGTTATCTTGTATTCTTGCAATCGATGCTAACAATTATTCTTTTTGAAGTAAATCAATCGCAATGTAAATGTTTGGACGTAAAAAATTTGCATGATATTTTTCTATTGAAAATGACGACTTTTCAAGTCACTAACAATATGTAGTGTAATAATACGTTTGAAAAATTTATTGGAATTTTGTTCTGATAGTATGTTGATTGTTGCAATGACTACTTATTTCTCTTCTTCTAAATAATCAACAAAAAGTAAATCTCTACATATGAAAAACACTAATTAGAATAAATTTTTTTTATGAGATTAACGAATAGTAAAGCGTACACACAAACATCTATCACTCTATTTGTGAAATAATCTGAAAGAACATCTTTGCACACATTCAAAACTTATCAAATCAAACTTTGACTGAATAAGAAAAGTTTGATTTGTATCTTGTCAATATTTATCTCTGATTAGCTGTGTCATTTTATGAGCTATTTTCGTATATTGAAATAATTTAGGTCATTATTATGAGGATTGTTAGTTTACAAACATGTAGGTTTGTTATGATTGCAACAAAACACCTCAAAGAAAGCATGGTCACATTATGGTTAGAATCTATCATGCGTGCGCAATGTTATTATTGATTGTAATCGGTAAAATAGGCAAATAAAGATATATTTATTAGTTTTTCATATAGTTTGAATTGATTTAATGTTGAATTGTGAGAATAAAAATCTTTATTCACAATCAACATGATTAGGATCTGACATTTTGTCTTTGTTTTCATAGAGAAACATGAGAGAAATGACGTCTAAGAACGCCCTCTCTCTTTGTCTTCAACAAAAAAATATATACTTATTATCATATTTTCTTTGATTTAATCGATTTTCTAACAAAAAATTTCATCATCATAAAACTTCTCTATTGATATTCTTTTTTTCATTTTCATTTTATAGTACAATTATCAAACGAATTTTGATCAATTCTAAACAAATGAATTTTATATATCTATGAATATGTATTTTTGTCATTTATGATCAACTAAGCTAGTATATGAAATCTTTTTTCTATAAATTAACACTAATTGTTAAAATCTATTCTTTATACATGTTTAATTCATCAGAAACTACTGAAAAAAAGCGGGCGGCGCTAGTTTACGAACTATATATAGTGCTCCAATCAGATAAAATACGAGTAGAGACGGATATGTGACTCATTCCTATTAAGAAATAAATTGAACAAACGAACGAAAAAAAAAAAGAATGAATGCAAACATATGATTATCATTGATTTTGCAGATGATTATTAATTTGAGCTAATATAGATTAAAACATGGCATTGAGCGATCTCGTACTTGATTGTAAGTATTATTCAAGAGAATTCGTTTGTTTTTCATAATATTCATTATTTTCTAGTTTACGAGATAACCAATGCAAGTCGAGTTGATATGAGTGATTTTGAATTACTCAAAGTACTTGGCACGGGAGGTAAAAATTATATGATTTAATTAAAATTTTTAGAAAAAAACTCAAATTTTTGTTTGTTTTTATATCTAGCTTATGGTAAGGTATTTCTCGTGCGTAAAATAACCGGTGCCGATATAGGAAAATTATATGCAATGAAAGTTTTAAAAAAAGCCGCGATCTTACAAAAAGCTAAAACAGCTGAACATATTAAAACTGAACGACAAGTTTTAGAATCTATTCGTCAGATTCCATTTTTGGTTTCACTTCATTATGCATTTCAAAGTGATGCCAAACTTCATCTTGTTATGGGTTAGTTAGATTGTTTTAGTTCAAAAAAAACAAAAATCATTAATATATTTATTATTTAGATTATGTAAATGGAGGAGAATTATTTACACATCTTAATAAACGACAACATTTTACTGAACAAGATGCGAAAATTTATATTGCTGAATTAACACTTGCTCTTGGACAACTTCATAAAGTAACAAAAAAAAACAATTTTTTTCATTGATAAAAATGAAATTTTTCTTTTAGCTTGGCATCATTTATCGTGATATAAAACTTGAGAATATATTACTTGATAGTGATGGTCATATTGTTCTAGCAGATTTTGGTTTAAGTAAAGAATTTCGACCGGATGATGCTGTAAGAAACTATTAAATATCAGTTATCTGATTGATTATTTAATTGATTTAGGATAAACGAACATATTCATTTTGTGGTACTATTGAATATATGGCACCTGAAGTTGTTAAAGGTGGCGATGCTGGACATGATTTTGTAAGTTTGATTTATATAAATGATATAATTATTTATATTGAATTTGAAATAGACGGTCGATTGGTGGAGTCTCGGTGTTCTTACCTTTGAACTCTTAACTGGTGCATCACCGTTTACTGTTGATGGTGATAAAAATACTCAACCGGAAATCTCCAAGTAATTCATTTCTGAGACTAATCGGATACTTTCATACGGCTTTTGGTTTGAGATTTCGCTCAATTAATAAGTTTGTTAAATGCCGTAGAATGATTTGATTTTAGAAATATTCATTTTTTTTACTGCGCATTTTACCATTCACGGAGATCTTCGTAAAATATATGTTAAGCATCATTTTAGTATAGGTTCTTTATCATTCAATAGATCTTGAAATTCTCTTCTAATACTATATCAATTTCTATTTCTTCATTGAAGAAAAGTTTAGAGAATTACACCGATACTAAATCTAGTTTAACTTTCGAAGATATGAATTGTGTGATATGTTAATCAATCATGATGATTTTCAGCATAATCATTGAAATCTGTGAAAAGTTTTATCTCATATATTCAAGGATAAGCATATTACACTGGAATGGGAAAGAACTAAAGCTAAACGTATGTAGTCAATGAAACTGATAGTTATTTCAGGAGACTGTGAGCCCTTCCCGGTGTTTCTCATGAATGGCCGAACGAAAACTGATGAAACTTTTAAGGTAAATAGATCTCGATAAGTGGAGCGAAAATTGTCAAAATTCTTAGATTCTTCCTTCAAGAAGATATGAGGATCAAAAATGACCAGAAGTTCTTCCCTCTCCCGCGAAATTCTAATTTTTTATGACAAGTAGAATAAAATCGGGGTGCGTATTGTTTTTTTCTTTCAAAAATATCGTTCTTAGAACTCAGGAAAAGCAAACCACTGGAGGCATCGTCAAAAAATCAGTTTTTTTTCAATGGTACTAATTTCTTAAAGACTGCCGAATTTTTGTAGGAAGAAAAATTTTGAAGAAAAAAACGCGCACTTCAATTTGATCAAAGTATTCATAAAACAACTTGAGCCCAATCGGACAAACTTCGTTATTTTTGTTCAAAAATTGATTTTGAGAAAAACTCGAAACAATGTATAGTTTCCACTAATATGATTTTTTTAAATGTTTACAGACAATTTTTAGATCCCAAAATGTACTCAGTAGATAGATACTATTTTAGGCTATACAATGGATACAAAAAACCGAAAAAACTTGAGTCACAAAAGGGGTGGAGTACTCGTAATGTATGATCAACATATTAATTAAGCATATTTTCGAAAGGAAATATCAATCTCAATTAAAGACAATGGACAATTATAGATCATCTACAAGTGATGTAAACTTCAGTTTAACAGATAGAAAACAATTGAGTGCTATCAACAAATATATCTATATTACTTCATAGAGATATTAAATTAACTTATATCATTAAGCAATGTCTAATTTTAGAGACATTTACAAGGGAAGGGTGTGTACTGTTGAGCAGAAACATTGGCCGTGTTCGGGTCAAATGATCACTTTCACCGAGAAACTAACGAATTTAAAATAAGGCATACCCATGACGTACTCGGACAAAGATCCTTGAATCTCAAGATATGGGAAATTTAGGTATAAAAATAAATCAGGAAATGTTTTCTTCGCTATTGTAAGGACAAAACATAGTGTTGTTCAGGCCGATTATAGAGTTTGTAGGGACTCTCTTTCATATGGCCCGAACAACACTATGTTTTGTCCTTAAAATAGTAGAGTGAATTTTTCGTGTAGCCCATGGAAATGGTATTTTCTATCAGCCACTAGAAAATTCAACTCTACTATTATAAGGACGGAACATAAGGTTATTCGGGCCATATGAAAGAGGATCCTTAATAATCCTAAGATTGGCCCGAACAACACTATGTTCCGTCCTTATAATAGTAGAGTTAAATTTTCTAGTGGCTGATAGAAAATGCCGTTTCTATGGGCTACACGAAAAATTCACTCTACTATTTTAAGGACAAAACATAGTGTTGTTCGGGCCATATGAAAGAGAGTCCCTATAAACCCTGTCATCGGCCTGAACAACACTATGTTTTGTCCTTACAATAGCGAAGAAAACATTTCCTGATTTATTTTTATACCTAAATTTCACATATTTTGAGGTTCAAGGATCTTTGTCCAAGTACGTCATGGGTATGCCATATTTTAAATTCGTTAGTTTCTCGGTGAAAGTGATCATTTGACCCGAACACGACCAATCTTTCTGCTCAACAGTACACATCCTTCCATTGTTAGAAAATAAAGAAAATCTTCTTCTTCTTCAATGAAAAAAATGAAGCTAAAATTATTATTTCTATTTTATTTAGACGAATCATTAAAAATCAACCATTAATACCAAATCACATCTCAAAAGTGGCAAAAGATTTTATACTTAAACTTTTAATAAAAAATCCTAAACGTCGTTTAGGTGCTAAAGGTTTAGAAGATGTTAAACGTCATCCATTTTTTGGATCTGATATGGATTGGGATGCTATTGCACAAAAACGTGTTCCAGCACCAATTAAACCAAAAATAAAGGATGAAATGGACACAAGTAATTTTGCTGATGAATTTACTCGTTTACCATTAACAGATTCACCTGGATTGGCACCACCAACAGAAAGTCTTTTTCGAGTAAATAATCATTTCTACAAAGGAAAAAGAAAAGAATACATTGTTTTTTACTTGCAGGGATATTCATTCATTTCACCAACTGTTCTTTTTGGTCTGGAAAATGCTGTTAATGAAGATTTATATAATCTTCTTCGTCTAACAAATCATCAAAGACCTGATCCATCACAACTTCATCGATTGATTAAAGTTTGTTCAGATTTTCTTTTTTGTTTTGTTATAGTGATTTTTGTTTTGTATTGTAGACAAGTCCATTTTTTCAAAATTACGAACTAATTGATCGTGAAGGTTTTCTTGGCGAAGGAAGTTATTCAATCTGCCGGTTAGTATGATTATATTTTGTTTTTATTTCTAATGATATTTATTTTAATTGAAAATTCAGTCGTTGTCGAAATCGTCGAACACAAGAAGAATTTGCTGTTAAAATAGTTTCATTACGACAAGAAGTTGATACACAAAATGAAATCGAACTTTTACGTTTATGTCAAGGTCATGCTAATATTGTCAAATTACATGAAGTATTTAATGATGAGGTATGTTTTGTTCTTCAAACTACAATATTATTATAGTGAAGATTCTCATATAAAAAAATCATACGAAATTTGTTTGAATATGATTTTTATATATTTTTGAGTTCGTATTTTATCTTGAAATTTTCATAACATTTATTATTCATTTTAAAAATGTGTCTGTTGGAAGCAAAATTAGAATTCGACTAGAGATAAATTCATATAATCGAAATAACTATTTTCATCTAACGATATTTTTTTTGTTGTTTGATTTTCGGTGACATTTTATAAGTCACAGTAATTTATTCTATTCACCAATGTTTTATCCAGTGTGAGAGCTGAGAGAACGGTGCCCCTTCGAAGATCGGGTTGGTTCTTCCAGAATTGGTAGTTATTGTAGCATGTACTATATATGGACCAAACTGATTTAATACTACGATGGGCCAAATCTTGAATGAAATATATAAAATTATGAAAAGATGTTGCTTATTTGCATCAAATTTTTCTTCGAAAATCTCATGTGATTTTTTCATTGGTTACAAATATTTCTGCAAAAGATAAAGTTGTCGTCACGTTAAAAAAACTTTCTTTAAATTCAACAAAATGTTCTTGTCTGATTCTCACCGTTCATCAACAATTACTTTTTCTTCAACTATCGTTGCTGGTTCATCATCACATACAAAGCAGTATAAATCCGAATGGATCAAAATTACCTTGAAACAACATTGTAGGCATATACATTTATTAAAAATGAAAAATCAAACATATCTTTATATTGGAAAGTTTTGGATTTTTTCAATTAAAAAGAACAATCAGAAAGTACTGATGAATTTGAGAGAACTGGAGGTTTTGTAAGTTGTCAAACATGTTACGAAACATTTATTTATGCATCAACTGTTGGTACTTGAAATAAGCTTGTTCATTCATGTGTTAAAAATTTATTCAATACAATTAGACGAATGACCTATGGATCAGCTATTTTTTGAAGAAAACACTATGGGCCAACTTTCTTAAGCCCAGCTCAGTCCATGGAGACTTCTGTTTGCCTTCTCGCAGTTTTAAATCGTCCCATCGGAAGGGAAAATTTGGATGAAACTCTGCTATTAACCCATATTTGTACAATCATTTCACTTGGAATAACATTTTATAGAATAAAAATTTCCTAATTTTTTTACATCAACATTGTTTTCTAACACACTTGTCTTTACAATCGCATGTGCGACCGATTGTTGAATAACGCATACATCGATATTTATACTGCTTATTGATATGGCCGCTATGATTAAAATTTTCCCTTGTTTTTTTTTATTCCACTCAACTTTTACAGTAAACTTGTGATTATATGAATTTATCTATAGTCGAGTTCTAATTTCAGCCGAGCAAAATTAGAATTCCAAATTTGCTCTCAATATATCAATCTCTAATGTGCATGTGACAAACATAGATCAATCAAAACCATTCTAGTAAATATTTTCCTTTTCAACATTGAACTAAGTCATATTAGTGTCAACTCAACACTAATCAATTGAAAATCATAGATAAAATAAAAAATTTATATATTTTGTTAATAATTCGACTGATGAACAAGATAAAATCGAAATGTATATATAATAATATTCTTTTTTTTGTAGCTTCATACATATATCATAATGGAATTATTAACGGGTGGAGAATTATTTTATCGAATTCGTACTCAAGCATCATTTTCCGAAAAAGAAGCCAGTCAATTAATGAAAAAACTTGTTTCAGCTGTTAATTTTATGCATAGTAATGATTTATGCCATCGAGATCTTAAACCAGAAGTAAAATAAAAATATCTTTGTCTTCTTGATATTAAAATTTGTTTTTTTTTGCTATAGAATTTATTATTTTCATCTCCAAATTCGAATGCTGAAATAAAAATAATCGATTTTGGTTTTGCTAAAAAACGTACTAAACATCAACCAATGACAACACCTTGTGGAACACTTTTGTAAGATAATATTGAAATTATTTTTATAATATTTTAAAAAAATTTTCTTTATAGATATACCGCTCCTGAAGTTCTTCGTGCCGCCACATCATTTAAAGATTCTCATTCATCATCACTTTCAACTTCATCGTCATCATCCTCAACGAGTACAACAATTGCTCTTGTACCTTCAACAATAACAAATTCAAGTTCAGTTGCCTATGGTTATGATGAATCATGTGATTTATGGTCTCTTGGAGTTATTTTATATACAATGTTAAGTGGAGAAGTTCCATTTAATTCTATAACAACTCATCGTACAGCTGAAGAGATTGTTGAAGATATAACACGTTCGAAATTGTCATATGATTCTACTGCATGGAAAAATGTCTCACAACCAGCGAAAGATCTTGTTAAAGGTTTGCTTGACTTTTTTTTTCAAAAATAGTTTGCATGTAAAACAAAAACAAATATGAATAGTTTGAAGTCTTCGCCTATAAAAAGAGATGTCATTTGAATAGGAAAAAAAAGTCAATTTCTTTTTTTATTTCTACATTCGAACAAAAGAAAAAATTGATAGACGAAATAGCACAATGAAAGAGATAATTTTTTTTTGTAACATTCGTTCTAAAAACTACGCAGAAAAACTCTCTATGAAAAGAGGAAGTTATTCAGTAATGCAATCAACATCCTCCTAAAATGGAATTTCCTATTTCTTTAATAGTCAATTAAGATGTCAAGAGCTGATTATCGTTCGAATTAGATTATTAGACTTCATTTTAGCTGCGCACACCTGACTCAAAACTCGATATCATTGATCTCCCATAGCGTGATACAATGCATTGTTTATATGGAAAGATAGCTCTTCCTTCCATTTTGCTTGTAGATGAGATTGTTCGTTTGTAAGTACAATATAAGGAGACTTGTAATAGAACATCCTCGCTATGGAACTGTGGATTGCTGCCCTCATCCCTCAATAATGAAGAGTTTTTTTCATGGATGTCTTCATACTGTACATACAAGCGAAAAATGATATATATATAATCCAAATTGAAGGAACTGAAGAAGAGAAACAAACTTTCCATATAAACATTGCAGTGCATAACGCTATAGGAGTTCGATAATATAGAGCTTTGAGTCAACTGTGCGCAGTCGGAATGAGCTTTCATAGTCTAATTCGAACAGCAACCGGCTCTTGACATCTTAATTGACTATTAGAAAAATAAGAAACTCAATTTAGAGAAGGGATTGATTTTACAGTTTCACAGCCTCTTCCTTTATTCTCTAATTTCTACAAATATTTTTTCCCCAAAATTTGAATCAATGCGCACAGGACTCAGGATCTGCACAATAGTTAAGAACTAAAATTCAAACGATTTTTCGGTTCCTTAGGTTTCGTATGTGTGTAGAGACTCTGTACCTCTCATTTAAACAATGTGTATTTTTAGGTTTATTAACTGTTGATCCATCAAAACGATTGACAATTAAAGATTTAACAAGAAATACATGGCTTCGTGGTTCAAGTCAATCAACAACACATGATCATCAACAACTTTTACTAACACCTAATATCCTTTCTCAAGCATCTCGATCGCTTATTGTATGTATTTTCAAAGATTAAATAAAGATTTATTTATTTTTTTTTTGTTTTCAAGGTTCGCGCTGTTAATATAACAATGCGTGCATTTCAAAAAGCCGGTCAATTTCAATTATCATCTGTAACTGATGGACTACTTGCACGACGTCGTCATACAAAAAAATCTACGGATTCATGTTCATCAACATCAAGTTCAACGACAACATCAACAGCAGCTGTTGTACCAACTAGTATTCCTCCTTCAACATTACCACATACTCGTCGTTTATGTGGCAATGGTGTATGCCGTTGTCGTCATGCGCCATGTCCACCAACGAATGATTCGTCTTCTTTATCTTCATTTGACTTTAGCGATGAAAGACTCTCGCAATTAATTGATCAATATCCATTAACAACAACAACACCAAAACGATATGGAATGACATTGAGATCACGAGCAACAGCTGCTACAAGTGGCATTACACATGAATTTGCTTCTCCTGCTCCACCTCCACCATTACTTGTACCTTCTTTATCTTCTTCTTCATCTTCTTCTTCAACAACTACAGATGTACTTCCTTCATCTAATATAACTGGTGAGAAACGTCCATTAACATCACCTATTCATCATTCATTAACACCGGCTAATAAGAAACTGAAACGATCGGGTACTATCACTATTGATGATTAGAGTCTCAATAACGTATTCATGTCTGCATTTGTCTCAATTTTTTTTTCTTTGTTTTGAAAACAAACATACATTTTTTTCCTTCAATTATTATTATTATTATTATTATCATTATGATCAGTGCTCGTGTTCGTTTTTGTTTTTTCGTTGTTGTTGCTTTTTTTTTGGATTGGAAAAGATCAATCAACTATTGTGTGTCCTTGCGTCTCTGTGTTTATTTTTTGTCATCAACCTTTTGTTTGCTTTGTTGCAATAATCATAACGGATGATGAAGTATTGTGAAAAAAACGTTTGTATACGCAGACATGATTGACGTTTGTTTTTCCAAAATAGTTTTTTTGATAAACAAAACAGCTTATAAATATTTGAAATAATATGTTTGTCTATTGATTCAAAAGTGAAAATTTTGAATGGATATTCTATTATTTTTTTCATAATGTTTCAATCAATTTCAATTTATTTTGTTTTTTATTGGTTTGAAATAACAAATTCATTTATTGTATTAAGAAGATAAATCATATGATTGAGAAATACGTCTTTTAGCATTATTCTTTTTAATTCATAAAAATAAACTAAAATAAGTTGATTATCGAGTAACAAAACCTATCTCAGTAGTAGATATTGTGGATGAATTATAATAAGACTTGATGTGATTTGAAGACATTCTTCATGAATATGAATTTCCTAAAAATAAAATTGTTGTTGAAGTGAATAAGTTTGTGTCAAAAGAAAACATTGATTGGTAATTGATGAAACTTTATCAAATTTTATGAAAATAAAATTATCTATTGTTTTTTTTTCATCTTTCGTATAATACTCGTAATGTACTTCTTCGTTTTAAACCTGATACATTAAATATAGGTTCTAGTTTAGATGTTTGTTTCGCATGAATTTTAGTTGCCATTGTACTGATTAGGAAAAGAATGTAATGTATCCAGACTACGTAATATATACGAGAGCAGTTTTTAAACAGAAAATCAATATGAAAAAAAAATAAGAAAATTTAATCTAAGATTCCAGTTCACGTACGTATTATTAACTTGATTTCAATGGATGAAAATGCTTTATTAATAGAATTATGATAAACTAGCGATTCTTGATCAGTAAAATCTTTTCTCCTCCCCCAAAAACTCATCAAGATAAACTTTCACACCATGAAATAATTTATAACTGATATATTGTACGGGTGATACGACTGCAAAACAGCCGTCGTTTACAGTTGATGTTCTTATTAGTAAAGATATATTTATAAGATAAGGTAAACATAATAAAAAAAAAAAGAAGCCATATAGCTTTTATTGATGGAGAATACTGTTAACAGGATGTGTCGCACATTATGTTACAGCAATGATCATTGATTTTTGTATGTGAATTGCTGCAAAATGCAGAAGTATTGATGATTTATGTCTATACAGATGATGAAAAAAAATCACTAAAAATGAAAGAATAACTCTATTACAGTTACTATTATTTTGATGTTGATTTGATAATAAAATATTCATAGGACAGCTTCATAATACATCAATAATGTTCTCAAAGAAATTCAACAAAATTAGACTAAATATAAATCATACCAAATAACATATAAACAAAGAAAAGAATAACAAATTTCTTTTATATGATTGTTATATATATATAGATCGGTACATATATTGACAATAAAATCAATCTTAATCAATAATATGTCCGTATTCACGTTCATTATTCTGTCATCTCTTTTTTTTGTTCTCGTAACAGGAACGTGTAGACACATTATTTGAATACTAAAAAGTTTCTAAGTATAAAATAATTATTTTTGAAAATAATTTACTTACACATGAAAAAGCATATCGAATACTCATTTATACATGCAGTGAGACGATAGTATCTAAAATTTGCTGTTGATCGACATAAATAGAAGAAACTAAGATTAGATATGTATCAGCTAAATCTTAAGATAGTGAAATAAGAGAGCAACTATAAGCAATTTCATAAAAAAAAAACTATGCACATAAAAATAGCAACACCTTCAAGATATATTAAACGTAATAACAAATGAAGTATATGATTTTATTATCGAATCTATCTATCCGTGATGAAAGACTAACATCGTTTTTATAGTGCTTATGAAGCGTTGAAAAAGAATTTATTTCAGTCATAGAAGAAAGATGACTAACTAATTTTCTTTGGGAAAAAAGCTTTATGCATTTATTAATATTAAACATTGCTCCTGGCTGAATCGTAGTTTATTATTTGTCGAATTAACCATAGACATAAAAGCAAAATATTCTCTATATCTTAATCTTATTCGCATATGCGATATAAAGTTCTTCAAAATGTATTCGACACTTTAGAAATAAAAAAAATGCTTCATTTGTTGTGACAAACTGATTCAAAACTAGATCTGCTGTTAAGGAAATGTAGATGATAATATTTTTCAAAAAGTAAATTTTCTTTAAAAGTATGTTTAGCATTCGAAAAACAAACACGAATGTTATCCAATGAACAAAGATTGCTGTTGTCTTTAGGGTGTGGATATGGTTGTCAAAGAGTGTATGTTGGGTGTGAGTAATGGAGTGAGCGTGATTGCAGATTTGAGCATGGATAGTGTTATGGGTGTAGGTATCGATGTAAGTGTCATTGTACGCGGTGATGTTGGACTGGAGATGTCAATGAAGTTTTTGTAGGGCATATGTATTAGTGTGAGTATTGGTGTGAATGTAGATGAGGGTGTGTACTGTTTCTTGTACCTTGATGGTTGAATGAAGAATGTGGGTGTAGGCAAAGGTGTGTTCATTCACTAAAACACACTCAATCCTACAGCAATACCGACATCGGCACCAATATTCAAATACTCTCACCCACACTCGTATATCCTTACCCGTTTCATAACGACATTTACACCAACACCAACACCGACACTGATACCCAGATCCTCTTTGAAGCAGAAAGGAGAAACAAGAAAGTTTCTCATTCGACATGAAAACATCTACTCAGGTCGAACAAGCACGATCGTAAACGACTGTATACGGAGAAGTACTGTTAGCGTCAACAGATGACACTATGTTGCCGCTAACTAATTTAGTCACTGTCCTTTGGTCATTTTGTTTTGTCCTTCCTTCCATATATAATTTGTCTTCCTGTCGTTTATTTTTTTTCTCTCTCTCTCTCCTATATATATGCTTTCATTAGTTATCATTACTGGTCAGTTGATTATCTTGTTGTTATCATTCATCCTTCTGAACAACATCTCTTTTCTCTCTCGTCCCCTCACCTATTATAAACCTTATTTTTCCTCTCTTTTATTATTACTCCTATTTCTATGATCTTGTCTTTTCCCTTATCATCAATAAACTCTAAACTACCTACATCTCAACTATCATTTTCCTTATTGCTGGATATATTATTCAGGTAGGCAGTTTTCCTTTTACGTGTGATATCCCAGAACTATATACAGACCAGACACTTTTCTGTAGTTATCTTCCCGCTTACGAATAGAACGTGTGCAGGAGATTTAGGATAACATACGAAAAGCTAACAAATACGACCAAATACATGTTTCAGTATTACGATTGTAAATCTCCGTATCGTATACGACGATAATGGAGAAAAATACGGTCGTTTACGATCCTCGTAAACGAAATCCGTACATGATTTATCAATAAAAACATCGTTTTAATGCATCTTCACAGTTCAAGAGGCTACATTTTTGGTAAACCGTTAAACTTATATGAATTTTGTAAATCAAAGTCTTAGAGCCACTAAGTAAACTTAATTTTGTTGATGTACAGGTCCATAGAAACCAAGTCGTACAAAGAAATCAATATATTATACGCGTTCAAATGTACTGTTGTCTTTTTCAGCATGACTGTTTGATTGGATAAACTACTTTCTTGCCACATGCTACTATTTTGTTTTGGTTTTCAGTGAGAAACTACGTATAAGCCTTTAAAACTTCTAGTGAGTTCTTTGTTTTACTATGCACAAGCATGCTAATGCATACAATATGTTAAAATGCCTTTTTACAATAAAAATAATATTCTTCTTTCCAAAGACGATCCTCCAAAATTTTGTTTTCCAGAATCCTCGTTATTTCTCCTTTTTCTCAAATGATTGTTCACATGCCAGAATGTAGTCTACATTTTAATATATATGCCTAATATATGATGCATACCGCCTGCTGAAGATGTCTCAGATATCTACAGGGTCCTACAACTGCATTGCAGAAGCGAGTGGTGCTCCTGGCCTGTCAGTAGCCATAAAGTCGTGCTTTTGGATTAGCCACCTACTAGTAAGATATTAAACTTTTCTGGCTAACGAATAAAATCAAACCAAATGCATCAATACAAATAAATCTATACTCCTTGGTGAATGAAACGGAAGACCGTGTCTTCGAAGGGCAAAAAAAGGGCTCATCATCCAGCAACTCAAGAAACATCGAATCCAAGTGGCAGCTATCAGTGAAATAACTATGTATGGTTCCAGCATTAATACAATAGGTGACTACACAATGATTCATTCCAGTATAACAAGTGACAATAACACGAGACAAGCTTATGGTGTTGCAGTTTTCCTTGACCGACAAGCAACTAGAGCATGGAAGAACCTTGGATCCATTTGGGAAGCAATTAATGAAACAATTATGACTATACGACTTGAATGCAAATCTGTCAACGTCACACTTATATCTATCTATTCGTCAATTAATCCAAATGGGCAAAAGCTGAGCGCCGAGACCGTTGATGCTTTGTATTCTAAACTACAAAAGACAAGTGAAAATGTGTCCAAAGACGATATAGTATTAGTAATGGTAGACTTCAGTGCAACGATCAGCGTGCAACAGCATCAAACAGCACGAGATATTGTAGAACCACATACAGTGGATCATATCAATGAAAACGGACAAAAATTCCGCGATTTTTGCTCATTAAACAATTTCATTATTTATAACAGCCTCTGCCAACAGAAAATTCCGACCAAGTGTAGAGAATGTACGAGTCCATCGTACGGCTGCTGGCACAATC